TGTACAGCCTCTTCGCCATTCTCAGTCACTTGTTTGCGGCGCCCATCGTCAAGATAGTCGTCCTCGAAGGCATTGATCCAAGCCAGAATGGCGTCTTGCAGACGAGTAAGAAGCACCTCCTTGAGCTTCTGGTTCATCATGTCGACCCAGTACGGCAGGTTGACGTATTGCTCCAAGTTGAGTTGATCGACGGCAGTCTGGATAGTCTCCAGGCGGGAAGTGAAGGCGCTGGCTTCGTAGGGGCAAGTATTGAGCTCAATGAGCGCCTTCTCCACGGTCGCGTGGATTGACGCCAGTGAAGCGGTCTTGGCCTGGAGCAGGGACACGGCCGCGGCAAACTCTCGAATGAAGAGGCTGTGCTTGCTCTCGGAGGGCTTAGAAAGCCCGAATTCGGACACATTGGGCAATGCAGCGTTGTTCTTGGTGGAGAAGAAGATCTCGTGGGAGTTGACGAATGACTCCCATCGGAGAGGAACACCTCTGGACACCAGAGCGTAGACGTCGTTCCTGTATCCATACACAAGCACGGCTTCCTCGCCCATCTCAGAGATCTGCCGCATCGTCTGCGAAAAGGTACGGACACTCTCCATGAGACTGACTGCGAATGGGTAAACACGCTTGGCGTCCTTGGACACATTGTTGATTGAGTGGGGAACAGCATAATTCTGCCACATGAGGTTGCGCGTCTCTTTGAAGAGGGTGATGACCTGGGGGTCAAAGTTGACCATAAGTTCGTAGCTGTTGCCCGTCGATCGCTGGCGACGAATATCGAATAGGAAACCAGAAATGGAGATTTGACGACGCTGAACATCATCGAGCCACGCCTTGTAGATGGTTTGCGTGTCCAGCTTCTTCCGGAACAGATTGCTTTCGCTCTGGAGTTTCTGACCTTCGGCGTGGATGGCCCATTCGGAACCCAACACGTCCTCGACCTTCTTCATGTAGTTGTCGAGCTGATGCTCAATCTGTCGGGCCCAGATGATGGCACCAGATACGGGCGGCAAATCACGCAACTGGGCCATAGCGTGAGCCTCAGAGTGGCCATATTGCTGTTTGAAGCGCTCGTGAAGACCGTGAATGGCTTGTTTCACGTGCTCCATCAGCTGGTTCTGGTACTCGGCAATTGCCCCACGAATCTTGGGGCGCACGAAAAGGGCGTTGAACTTTGAGAAGACGCGGAACATCTCGTTCGCGTTCTTCGCCGTCGCCAGGCGATCTCTCAGGCGCGCAATGATAGAGTTTTCAACCCGAGAAGTCCGCTCATTGTACATGTTTTCGGCCTTGGCCCATCTCTCGGTGCCCTCGGGGGAAACATCCAAGAGGTCAACGTTCTTCAACGCCTCCCAGGCTTGCTTGACTTCTTCAACGGCATCCACATCGCCCATCTCTTCGACGACGACTACGCCATTGGTGTTGGTCGTTTCCGTCAAGCCGCTCACAGTAGCCTTGGGGCCGAGAACGTTGACAATGGTCCGCTGCAGCTGCTCGTGGTTGTCGCGGAATGTGCTGACGTACTTGAGACGGCCTTGAAGCTCCGCATGCTTCGGGTTGACCTTGATGGGGATGAACTTTTCGTTTCTCCTGCGCGTCACCTCACGGGCGACGTTGGTAAACTCCTTGATGCTTTCGTCCCACGTGGTAAAGATATCGTCGCTAGCCTTCATGATGGCCTTGAACTCAGTGTAGTCGAGGTTCACAAGCTCCGTACCGGGCAAAAGTCGGTGCAGCACCTCGTCCAAGTCTCCAGAGATAGCTTCGACCAAAGGGAGAGCTCTCCGAATGGGGTACGGGCAAATTCTGAGCTTCCTGTTCAGGTGGCCGAAGATCTGCACGATGGCGTCCTTGACCTTGGACAGGTACGTGGCGGAAAGTAGCTCATCCAGCGGGAAGTCTCGCATAAGCTGGTTGTACTTTTGGACCTTCTCCATTGCCTCCTTCAAACCGGTATCGGCCGTAAAACTGACAGTCGCCTGGAAACGCTTGGCGTGCTTGAGGATCTCGAGGGTCAAGAGAACTCCCTCGCTACGGAGCTGTCCTTCGATGCCCTCCAATGCAGACTCCATCGAAAGCCAGAAGTTGACCTCCTGACTGGCCGTAAACTTGAAGTCTTTGGCGCTGTCGGCGGGGTCCCTAGTCATCCTCGTAATGACCTGAATAGACTTGATCCAGCTGTTCACATTGTTCTGCAAACTGTTGAGGAAGGTACTGTCGGAGAGCACGGTGCCCGGGATGAGATCGAGTGTGGGTTTCGAGTGTCGCGAATCGGCCTCTTCCAGCGCGTTCTGTACCATTGTGTGGAACATGAGGGAGACCTCGGGAATCTCGACATTCTGCTGGAGGTGAAGCAGGCTCAGCTCCAGGTCGTTCCATCTCTTCTTCGTGACGGGAATACCCGTCTTGGAGTCCACGTCCGCCCTGCCCCTGGCGCCATTAGTGATCTGGCTCCGGGTGTTGGCATCAAAGTAGGGCGCCAGCGCATTATGAACATAAGAGTGCAGGATCTCAAAGGGCGAAGTGGAGGGGCCTTGCTCGCCGGCGGTGGCATTCAGGGTCGCAGGGCCTGGGAGATTAGTCAAAAGTATCTGGGAAGTGAGCGGCAAGGAGGGGTCGATCGGGCCAGGGCGCTGCTTCAGCAGAACGAGGCATGACACGGTCGTCGGAAACGAGGAGATTTCGGTTGTCAGGGAGTATGTGTAGGATGGAGACTCTGCACTCGAAGGGTTAGCGATGCCTATGCGGCCGTTAAGGGTTCTAGAGGCCACGCGGGTTGAACGAACTTGACTCCTCGGTTCCATTCTGTATCGTGGATACGGGCAAAATATCTTTCTGAATGTACAGAGCGTTGGGGGTATCGGTAGCAAAGCGGGTGCAGCGCTGGACAGTGTCGGAGTAGCGGTGCTTGTGAAGCAAGCTTCCAGGGCTCTCGAGGTCCTCGTTGGTCGCTCCGAGAGCTATCTGGCAAACCAGACCAATGTGTTCGAGAACGCGGTTCGGATCGATTGAGGATTCGGCGGTGGGCGAGGCGACGCCGTTCGCGCCCGGGATCGGGGTGGAGGCCACCTCCATGGCGGCTCGGGGGAATGTGGTATGTGTGTTTCGGACGAAGAAAGACGATATTTACAGAGTCGAAGTCGGCATCATCGTAGGTACGACGGATAGACGGTAGCGTGGGTGAGTGGACAGCAGTGTGTCTGTCAGGTCAAAAAAGGGCAACCTCAGGGGCGATGACTGGTCGGCCGCGAGATCGACGAGTCGTGGTGTGCCGAGGAGCGGAACGAAGAGAAGCGAGAGAATGGAAAGTGCTAAAGGAGAGTTGAGGTATCTTTGAGTGGGACGAGGACGTGGTTATCGCGTTTGGGAACCGAGATGTGCTCGTCGTCCCGTTGTCGTCGTTTGGTAGTGGGTGATTATTCGCGGCAGCGGATTTGATGCGCAGCGCAGATTCGGGGGGGTGGTCGTGGGATGAGTCTACGAAATGCAACTATGTAAGGTAAGGTCGGAGGTGAGGTATCTGTGTAGATTGACGTGCCCGGTCTGCTGCAATGCAATGTTGACTTTCCAGACGAATTACTAGAGAGTCCCCGGACAGGCTTGACTTGTCCAAGGGTTCCACTTTCACTTTCACATAGGCCGTTTGGGAACCTCTTGTCTAGGTATTGTGCAACCAGTCCCGCAAGTAGAATTACACTGGAAACAGCGGGAAAAGGTACATTGCATCCAGGTGGTCCTTTCCCTGAGATGTCTGCGAGTTTTAACGCGACCAGGCAGGACCCTTGTCGCGACAGCATGTGTCAGGAGGTTGCTGGCCACTCAAGCTTAGGTACGTACACCACCTCAGTACCTACAAGCTTACTAAGGTACGGATGCAAGTCCCACCTGGGACTGCGGTATCTATCTGATTGGCTGCACCTTCCACGTCTCACCAAATCAAAGCTCCGATCTACCGCGACGATGTCCTTTTTTTTTTTTTTTTTTGGCTACGGAGTACGGAGTATTGTGCTGGCAATGCATGCTGGGCCACTCAAGGCACCACAGGGAAATAAGAGGAGCTCAGACACGCTGGCCACGACACGTCCCCGTCTGTACATTTTCACCTGCACCAACTGCACCAGGCATAAATCTGCATCAGGGTCCCCTCCCTGTGCATGTCCGCAGAATTGCTGACTGTTTCCTCAGCATCCCCCCCCCCCCTTCACATGGTCATGCACACCTACCTTACCTTACGGAGTACGGAGTACTTGTAGAACAATAACTGTTCTTTCTTCACATGCACATGTCTTAGGTAATGCAGCCAACGACGCGTTCCATCAAGCCTACCTACAGACTACAGAATATTACCCACACACGCTTCTACCTCATAAATCGAGAGCGCCATGATGGAATGAGAGAGCATGGATATTCTGCTCCAATTCGATTCGTTAGACCCCCTGGCCCGTTTGAATGCTACCAGTACAAAAATGGCCATCCAATCTGCCACATCCAGCGCCCACGCCCGCTATCCTTGGGTACCCAAAATTACTCTTAAAATCGCCTCTTAATTAGCAGCGACCCCTGGATAGCTCGAGCTTGAGCTGCAGCTTCCCGCCCGCGCGCCCTTTGCCCCACTATCCTACCACTACTTCACCTCACTCTACACAATATGTCATTTGATACGGTGATACCTCAAGGTAGCCGCGGTCCGGCAGCATATTGCCTCATCCATATCCCGCGTTTCGTCCCTTCTAGCTATCACGGTACATCGTCTTGGCGAATGGTATTTAACGCTCCTGACGCGACTTATGGCAGCCTGTCGAAATCACAAAAGTTGCATCAAGCGGCATGATCAAAAGTCGAATGCTTGCTTCAGTCATGTTCGCAGATACTTTGCTGGTTGAATCCCACCCAATGCAACCCCGGACTTCCAGATAAATAGAAAGAAATGAAAAAAGACAAAAAACTGCTTGATGACCCCAGCCTCTAATGGGACCGACCTCAGATCACACCCAAAAATCGACTCCGCCCCATTCAAACACCTGATTCCATCCTGCCTTGCCTTACGCTTTCGGCATACCGACGGCCATGCTTCCGCGACGCAGAAAGGAAAGCATCGTACAAGTCCCTTGTCAAACCAGTTGCCCGATCCCGTTCCGCCATGCAAGGGTACCCTCTGCCGAACCTTGTCCATCCATGGCCGTACACTACGTGCCATTGTTGCCAGACCCTTCTGGGCCACCGAGCCTCTCCCGTTGAACCATAACCCGTTGGTTGCAAATATCGATAAACATTTCAAACCTCTCAATGATCTGGTCCTTTTCCACCAACTTCTTCTTCAACTCGTCCACCTCTTTCTGTTTGTCCTCCTTGTACTTGTCAAAATCCTCGCGTGCCTTGGCGAGTTCTTTTCTAAGATCTGCCCGAATCCTCTCTTCTGCCGTGGGGTGTGGTTTGCTGTATATGGCCGGTCTGTTCTCTGCCAACCCCGTAGCCACCTTTTGAGGGTTTCGGTTGATTGCAGCTCTGGCATTGTAGATGTCGCGAGGGAGGAGGGGGACGTGAGGGTTTTCGCCTTGCAGTATCTCCAGTGTCTCGTTTACACTAACCCCTGTCGAAGAGTCAGCGGCTGCTCTTTCTCGTGGTGTTGACTTTGCCGGCTCACCATTCTCCTTGAGAGCTTTGACGGCGGCCACCATCTTGCTGTCTAACTTGCGAGCTGCTGGGTGGAGGAGCGGGCTTTCGCTAGGGCCGTGGTTGTGTTGCAGATGCTGAGGATCCGGTCGGTATCGAATCGTCCACTGGGTCCGCTGCTCGATGGCAAAGAAGCCGAACTGACAGTCGCATTTGCGCGATGACGTCTTTCGCTTGCGGAACTCGGGGCTCACGCGACTCGGGGGCTTGCCTGCCCGATCACACACGAACAGAACTTTTTTGAGTCCAGGAACTGTCTTCTTGGAGCGGCCAATGACGATTGCGTAACCGACTGATGTGCAGTATGCGAGAACGCTCTTGTGCACCGCCTCCAGGGTCGGGAAGCTGCCTCCCTCGGGAGGAGCAGACATCATCTCTCCCATGGGTGTCCGAGGAACGAATGGGGCCCCATCGATCATCTTTGGCTCGAGGGAATCGTCACCCTCAGCCAGGGATGCATCAACCTCCATACTCTCCCCATGCTGATCACTGGCCTGAGCAGGCGTCTCGGGTCGGGCCTGAGCAGGTTGCTGGACCTGCGGCTGGACTGGGGAAGCCTGAGGCACTTGCTGGGCCTGCTGGACTTGCTGAACTTGTTGAGGCACCTGCTGGACCTGAGCAACTTGCGGCAGCTGCTGTTGAACTGTTGGAGGCGTAGGCTGTGACAGAGTCTGAGCTTGAGGGGTATGCTGGGGCACGATTGGCTCAGTCTTGATCTGCTGCTGGGCGGCCTGCTGCTGTTGTTGAGCTTGTTGCTGGGCGGCCTGCTGAGCCTGCTGTTGTGCCTGTTGCTGTGCCTGTTGCTGCGCCTGTTGTTGTGCCTGCTGTTGCTGCTGCTGTTGTTGTTGTTGCTGCTGCTGTTGCTGCTGCTGTTGCTGTTGCTGTTGCTGCTGATGGAGACTGTGCTGCTGGCTCAGCTTTTGTTGCTGGCTAAGAGACTGCTGATGTTGCTGCTGTTGCTGCTGTGCCAGGGTTTGCTGTTGGCTCAGGCTCTGCTGGTGCTGTTGATGTTGCTGCTGTTGCTGGTGATGTTGCTGCTGCTGGTGTGCCTGATGTTGCTGATGTGCCTGGTGCTGCTGGTGTTGATGCTGCTGACCCAGGCCTTGCTGCTGGCCGAGGCCCTGTTGTTGCCCAAGACTCTGCTGATGGCTCAAACCCTGCTGCTGGCCGAGCCCTTGCTGGCTGAGGGCAGACTGCTGACCGAGGCCTTGATGTTGTCCCAAGCCTTGCTGCTGGCCGAGAGCCTGTTGATGGCTGAGGCTTTGCTGACCTCCCAGGCCCTGCTGTTGACCCAAGCTCTGTTGTTGACCGAGACCTTGTTGCTGACCGAGGCCATGTTGATTGCCTAGAGGAAGGAACAGATTAGGGCCGTTCTGTCCCATCTGCTGCCTCTGGGGCGGCCCCCTCTGGCGTCCGAGGGCGGCGGCATTGGGGACGTGGCTCGGGGGACGCGAGGATCCGTTGACGTTGCCATTGACGGGCGTCGGTGTCTGGAAGAGATGATGGGGATATTGAGCCTGGGTCGGCTGCTGAGGCGTATATGCTTGTTGTTGATAAGGCGACGCGTTGTGAGGGCCTGGCGATGGCTTTTGGGCAGGATTCGCGTGTTGCAGGGGCGGGAAGCCGCCTGGGCCGCCGTGACTTCGTCGAAGGCTACCCGGCTGGGGAAAGGCGAGGCCTGGATGGCTATTTCCCGACTGCCCTAGACTCGACATTGTGTGCCGAGAGAAGGGTGGTCGAAGCCTTGGATGGAGATGAGGGAGGGAGGTGAAGAAAGCGAAGAAGAAGGAGCGTGAGGTCGGACGTGTGCGTGTGTGTGTGTGTGAGGGGGGGATTGTTCACCCGCCGAGGCGAGGCGAGGCTTCGGGGGAGAACGTGTATGGCGAGGGTATCGTCAGACTCAACGGGTGGACGGTCGCGTGGGTATCGACTTGGAGGTCGAGGTCGAGGTCGTTCGAAGTCGTTGAGCCTCCGCTATCATAACCCGAATCCCAGAGATGCTCGAAAGGATGCAACAAACGAACCCTTGAATGTGGTCTGGGGGTGTCGATAATGGGATTGGGGGGAGGGAGAGGCGTGGAGTGTGTGTGGGTTCTGGGAGGTGTGCACAGAAAAGAAAGGGGAGAGCAAACATGCGAGGTGTGAAGGGTGGTGTGCGAGGAAGAGAAGGACGGCGGACATGGAAGAGACCTGGGCGGATTGGGGGGGGGGGAGGGACGTGGACTTGGACTTGGGACTTGACCCGAGGACCGTGTCAAGTCAAAAAAGGACGGGACTGGAGGGAAAAGGCCAGAGAGCCCAGTGGCAGTGGCAAAAAAGATTGCAGAAAGCCAAAGGGCGATGGAAGAACAGTGAGGACCAGGAGGGGAACAGGGAAGGGGAAGCCTAAGGCAAAAGCTGAAAGACAAGAAATTTTCTGTGGCGCGGGCCTTGAGATTTCCTCAAGGTGCACCCGAACTAATTTTTTTGGGCGCAGCAAAGAGCAAAGGGACGGGGCGGCGACAGCCAAACTCAAGGTAGAATTGGAGCCTGAGGAGTCAAGACTCGAGGGGGAGGACCCACCCTCTCCTGCCCCCCTTGAAGGCTTTCAGCCAGCTGGCATTGGCTGGAAAGTGAGACGGAACACGTGATTTGACCGCAACGATGATGTCATCAAGAACGAACAGAGCGGCCCCCCCCCCCCCCTTTTCTTTCCATTGTTGGCTGCGCCGACTTCTTTTTTTAACCGCCCGCCTGCTGGCTGGCTGCTGGGTGCTAGCGTTCGTCAGCGCGTGAGAGACGAGAGGGGAAAAGAAAAAGAAAAAAAAAAAACAATAACACACACACAGCCAGAAAGGCAACGCGTTTCGTCGAGGGGTGAACACGAGCAGCAAAAACATATCGGATTAAAGAACTTGCGTGCGTTCGGCCGATTCAAAGCGTAAACGTACCCCGTACGGTACGGGATGGACGAATCAACAGAGGTATGCACTATCTACAATTAAGGCTCAAAAGTTTGATCGCGACTTCCCTCCTCCACACCATGACACCAGTGACCAAGGTGCACGCCAAAAGAGGGTGAGGTGACAGCTTCCTGGCGTTTACCCACGTCCCGAACAGAGGCGTGGGATTGGGAAAAAATAATTGGAAGACGGCGGGAGTGTCCGAGTGAAGTGGGTGGGAAAAGTGTCATTTGAGGCTCCAAAAGTCATTTTGCGCCGTTGACGGTGGTGCCAGCTCGGTGCTGGTTCGACACCTCTCTGATCTGACAGCTGCGCTCTGCGCTGTGTGCTTGCGCTGGACGCGACTGGACTTGCTTTTTTCTATTCGCACTCCTGCTGGGGCCGTCAAAACCACAGTCGTGGAAGGCCAGATTGGTTTACTTAAGCCACCCATCTTATCAGCACCACACCTCAGGTATCCAGATTGCGCTTGTACCACCTTTTGCAGGTACGAAGTACAAGCTCCCCTTCCCCCAGGGCCCCCAGGGGATCTCAACCAGACGGGCCACACACGCCCACGCCCCCTCCAACTGCCCAGGTCCCCTTCCTCAACCCCCGAATCTCTGAACAGGACAGTCGAGAATAAGGACTTTAGGTTCTGCATGTCATGCCTTTTCCTTGGGCCATCAAAGAGCGGGCTACAAACGCTATTCCCTCCCGTCATCAAGACTACCTACGCAAGGTACAAATAAGTATGCCTGCCCCTTTCCCGTAAGTTTCGGTACAGATACACTAGGGAGTACCTCATCTTTCCATTCGCCCCTTGAGGTGAGATGGCCATGGACACTCCCGCACCCCATGCATCTACGGGGGGTTTCGACGGCTCGCTACAGCACCAAGCTCCCCCTGAAGGAAGCCCGCAAATCAGCCTTACAAGTTACAACCCACCCCCGGCACCTGCGAAATGATTAAAAAAAAGTCGAGACCGGATAGCGAGAGCTGGGTGAGGAGGCCTGTCTGTGCTTTCGTGGTGCTTTTTTAGTGGGGGTCTACCAACGATGTATGGACCAGGTCCGATCCCTGCCCAAGGCTGGGTTATCAAAAGAGTGGCGTGTTTCCACATCACCTACACCGAGCTCACCGAGGTAAATGAGGTCTATGCCAATACCTCAAGTTCCTAGAGCTCAGGGTACCGGATGCTTAACCTCCACATGATGTTCCTCGAATAGAAACCATGAATACAAATGCTATTGCTGACGTTGACAAGGGAATCGTCGGTGATATAGCAAAGTCAACGTCAACAACCACTCACAAAACACTCAATGAACACAGCACGATTGAATTGTGTTCCATCGCCTCTTGGCCAAATGATGTGACATTCGACCTCCATGCCATGGTGCTTGAATGAAAGGCATGATCTCTAATGCTATCGTGCCATTCTCGGCTGTTAACTAGGAAAGTCATCAGCCACGTAGGGGATTTGACGTCAACAGCTGCTAACAATTCCCTTCCACCAAATACTTCCAAATGCGGGAATCGCAAATCGTGTTCATCCACCCGTTCTCGAGAAATCTTGTTAACTCAGACAATAGTCGTACTACTAGTTTACCTTTCAGTAGTACAGGCTGGTGTATTGAATTGCGTGGTTCGCACGCGGAAGAAGGAGGAATTAGGTAACTCAATAATTCGTCCCATGCGGAATTAGGTAGGCAAGGCCGTTTCCACGGGTTAAATCACCTTCCATATCCATCCTTTCTACTAAGTGCTCATAATTTTTAACAGGCACATGTTAAATTGCCCTTGTTAAAGCATTGGAATCCTGCAAGTAGGGTAGGCTGCTCCGTCGACGCAGTTTCCCAAGCCCATTGGCAGCTGCTATGCCTCGAAGTGCGGGACGCAGAGTTTCAAGGTGTAGATTTTGGGTCAAAGTGAAATAATTCTCCCAGGGGCGTGCCTCTGTCAGTGTCAAGTATTTAATTGTAATCATCCAGAGAGTAGTGCAATCAAAGTCGAAACATTGACTAGTATTTCCAATATATTTGATACTGTTGTAATATCTTCTTCACTTTCCTTCATCGAGTACCATTAGTCCAAGCTTTGATGGTATAGAATACAATGGCCCGCTAAACATAACCAAAAATAAGAACAAAGAAGGAAGCCAGACTCTGTTCGCTCATGTGGTATCTTTACACCCATCCTGTATACGCCGGAAATCAACCCCATTCTATCGTGCGGATTACTATCGAAGACAGCAAACCTCAAATATTTCGTTAATTAGTCTCTCTTCTTCCTTTTACTCGGTCTCCTCTCAGTCTCCCCGTCCACAAAGTGGTTCTTGTCTTGCTGGTGCTGCTTTAGATTGTCTGGTCGGTTCTTGTATTGGCTCGTGCAGCCCGGAAACGGACACTTGTAAATCTTTGGCGGCGCCGTTGAGTGTTGCAACTTCTTGTGCTTTGCCATGCTACCCTTGAACCACTGAGGGGCGCCTTTGGGTCGGTATCCACAGATCTCACATTTTTCGTTGGCCTCAGCCTCTGTCTTCGCTGCTGAGCTGGAGGTGGGGTCTTCCCGGACTTCGGCCGCAGACTCGCCAGGTACGTTGTCAGGCCGTGTCATGGATGGCGGTATCTGGAATGATGGTGCTGCTGGAACCCCACCATCGTTGAAGAACATAGTCAAGGGGTCTGGCAATCCATTGCTGTCTACGTCCATGTAAATATCAGGCATGGACGCCGAGATAAGTGGCGTGTCGGTTGTCGTGGCTCGGGCATCGCTCCAAGTTGTGTCGCCCAGGGTTGTTGTCAGATTCATGAAATCATCGAGGGTTGCCTCGCTTATCATCTCAGAAGGGACCCGAGAAGAATCCTTCAGACTCTCCTTTGTGCAAATACCGCGAATGATAGACTCCATCAGATCGATAGCGTATGCATGATAGCTTCTTCGTGTGGTAGCCCCTATCATAGGATTGGTGTAGAGGACCTCGAACTGTGCCCTAACCTTCGGAACATAATGATTGAAGTAGTCTTGCAATGACATGCACCCCTGATCACGGCATTAGCATAGTGCGGTAATAACTCTTCCGATCCTCGAGACCTACTTTGCCGGCTTGCATGAGCTCTATCTCCGCTTGCCTGGCGCTCCAAATACTGCCATCATCGATGCGCTTCTGAATACGCCTCCACTTTGCACCTAGACCATCGGCGCGAAGGAAGTCGTGTCTGAGATTGCTACGAACTCCTTTGAAGCTTGCAGACAGTGCACTGTTCGATGGAGCCCGATTGGCATTGTACTGCCAATGCTGTGCCCATAGCATCGAGGTTAAGACTTCGGCCGACTCAGGTTGCCCGCTGGACAGGACAGAATAGTCCAATTCTAATGCTTTGGGTAAGCAGTTGTCAACCAGCCAGAGAGCCAGTGTTAACGTACCGTCTAGGAAGAACTTTGCCACCTCCAACAATTCATCCTGTTCAGGTCGATTTGTCGGTATAGCAGGATCCCGTTCTTTGCCCTTTCTGCTCGACGACCGAGAGACTTCATCCCCGTGCTCACTTGATGATAAACCGTTCAGTTCACCGGCAGATAGATTTTTGGGCTGCCAGATCGCTGATGCGACGCGAAGATAGTCTGATTGCTCCCACTCAGGGAGCGCAATGCTGTAATGAGAGGTTTGAGCGAATAGGTTCCTGGAGCGATCCTGAGCACCATCTTCGTGGACAACAAGCGAGAGCGAGTACATCAGATGAACGAAGCAAAGGGTATCGATGCTAGTCGCGGGATGCCTACCCTCAGACATGCCCTTCAGCGCAACGAGGGCCCTGTCCGCTACTTGCTGCGGCGAAAGATCTCGCAACTGTGCTGCGAGAGCACTGTGAGAGACATGCTGCAGCTTTTCGAGTGAGGAGCTGATGTGAGTCTTGAGCGTATCCCAAGCCGACCCGACGAGCGAGTTGGCGTCCACAGCATGATCAGACAAGGCATCTTCTGAAAGCTCGTTTAGCGCAAGGGTGCCGACTTTTGGCTGAGCAGGAACGTCGGCGGCTTCAGATAAGGGGCTGACGGCGGCTGGTACCTCCAATGAGGATGCCGACTGGTCGAAATCAACGGCCGGAAGTGTCATGGGAAAATTTTGTAGTAAAATGTCATCTGCCGGAAGCTCTGAAATGAAGTTGTACGGCTCCACGCTATTATTCGAGTATCGACTTGCGTTAGAACATCCCCTGGAAAGATATCCACCAGAACCGCCGTCAGAGGTTGGTGATGTGATGTTTGTCTCGGCAGTTGTCCATGCGCCACTATAGGCAGAAGCAGGGGAAATGAGGTAACTGGCTGTTGTATCGGTGCTCGCGTTTGATCTAAGTGAATTGCTCGGAGAAAGATTCTTAGTCCTTGTCGTAGGCTGGAGTTGTTTCCGGGGGTAGCCAAAAACGTCAGTATTCAGGGCCAGTAATGGCCGGTCGGCTTTGACCATGGCATTATCGCTCATGTCGAAATTGTTCTGTGCAAACCAAGGATCGGGCAGAATGGAGTTTGGGTGTTGGAGGTTTGCCGGAATCATGCCCGTAGAAACATGAGGTTGAGCCGTCACAGTATTGAAATGGGCATTCGTGGGTGTAGGCCAGGGGACCTCGGTCGAATCAATCTCCAAGATCTCCGACGAGGAGGAAAGTTCAACTTGCTGTGGTTGTATATGCAAGGAATCGTCGTAGCTCGGAGGTGGTGCTATAGCGACTTCAGATACGTTGTCTAGGCGGACATCGGGGATGCTCGGGTAGTTTCTTGACTTTTGTCCCATGGAAGAGAAGAAGTTCTTAGCGACATTTATGATCTTGCGTCTTTTTCCAGGATGGCCGAGGCATCGTTTGCAGTTTCCGTCGGTAAACTTTTCAGCCTTGCTACATTCATAACACCAGTACTCGCCAGTTTCGAGCTCAGGACAGTCGTAGAGGTGCTCCAGCATAGCAGCGTGGTCTGGAAACCTTTTGCGACAGCGTAGCATTGGACATTCGAGACGATCAGTGGCCGTCATCCTTTGGGACTTGTTGCGCTTCACAGCGGCCCATACTATGAACTTGTGCAGAGCGCATTCGTCTCGCCTTACGGTGCGAGTGCTGCGGTTATTTCTTTAGCCCACGATCTACGAGGCTTAAAAAAAAAAGGCAAACCTTGAGCGGATAGACTTACACGCATGACGGCGAGGTGTTTGAGTCAATGGATGAGCGGGCTGAAGAGGTTGAAGTCGAATTCGTGCAGCAAGAGTCCCGTCGTGAGCGGCCGAAACTCAGGCGGGACGAGGTGAGAGCTCGTAGGGCTGAAGGTGACGGGCTCTGATTGAGCGAACGGCGGTCATCCCCGAAGGGCGACAGCGAAGTCTTGGACTCCATAATACCCCCAAGGTGCTCCCAAGGACGCACGGGTGGAAATCAGAAAGATCAAATTGCAAGGAAAGCAACGGTCAGAAACGGGTCGAATGAAAGGGGACCGATCCGCCACCCATTTTTGTTTTATTTGTCCATGGGATGAGGTGGATGAAGCCTGCAAGATTGTATTCAGGTCGGTGTCGTAGGACTCTCAGGACTTGGTAGCATCCCTAGGACTTGAGCTGCGGGTCGGGACTGGCTAAAAAAGGTGGTCTCTTCCCGGGCCACCGGCAGATGCTGTGCCTGTGCGTGCTGTGTAGGAGGGAGCGAACTTGGGTCAGACCGTCCCCGTCCGGCCAGGCCAGAGAGCGTCAGACTCAGAGAGGGGGAAGAGACATCCAGTGCGGGTCGGGTGCCATCCAATACCATGGAGTGGACGGCACGGTGAGGTAAGCAGGCAGGGTGGCAGGCCTCCGAGGCTCCAAGGTGAAGGGTGAGAGGAGGTGGAGAGGGCCACAGGGCGGAGTGAGATTTTGGCTGCGCATGTTAGCGAAGTACTTTGTATGATGCTCCCGTCCTGGGTCTTGAAAGGTTCAATTTCAAGTCAACACGGGATGTTTCATTGTTCCTCGAATAAACAGATATGGAATCAACAAGCCGTACTCGTCTCTAGAACCAACAAGATAGACTAGATTTGACTTCTTCCCCAGTTCACCCGCTTAACCAGTGTACGTGTACCTAGCCTTGTAGGCCTGACACTCTTCAGCATTTCTGACAAGAAACGAGGCAGACGGCATGGGCCTCCGTCTTAGTCTGGCAGTAGTAAAAGAGAATACCTACCTAGACATGCTCTGCGTCCAGCCAACCACGGCGTTGACAGCTTGCCTGCAGAGGCAGCAAGGCACACAGCCGATGACTGGACGGCGAGCCGCGGTTGGTGCAGGAAACTCGACTTTGAAGCGTAGAGAATGCCTTGCTATCCGCCTTGGTGTGCACTTGCACAGACGATTGGCTGGAGAACCGATGCTGATTGCGACACTGGCGGAATGCATTACCTACGTAGTACGCTGAGGCTGTCGGAGCCTTCAAACCCCGGGCCCCGATACCAGGCAGGTCGAAAGTCCTGAACTAGTCGTGAGATGACATCGTGGGCTGTGCCGCAGTGCCACGATGCGAGGGTTCCTGTGGCTTTGCATTTTGAATTACGCCGGAGAACACAAACGAGACGGAGTTCAGCCACCTGAGGGATGGAATGCCGGCGTAACCAATTCTCCGCAGAATTGCAGGAGAGGTAGTGATATCTCCTCCCAGCGACGAGACTATTCAAAGCTGGTTGGCGGTATCATCTAGTCGTAGCCACGGGATGATGATCTGACTTTGTGTTGGGTTATGGTTCCTGCAAACTTCTCCACGTGTCAGAACAAGACTGAGTTCGCGGGAAAGACGGGATCAAGTGGAATCTGAACTTTCTAAAGATCAATCAGTTTTCCTACATGTTTTTTCCCCCTCCTGCAAGCCACCGACGGCAGGAACGGGGTTGCCGTGCAAGTGCCCTGGCAATGAAGAAAGGAAAGAAGCAATGCGCCCCTTGGACGGGAGTGCCTTCCGATGTGTTGGTTTCCGACTGAAGACGACAGGATCTTCAACGGCAGGCACGCAGAGAATGAACCCCTGCCTGCCTCAACACCTTGAACTCATGGGACGACATTTCAACGACATGATGCGGTGATGCCTCACTCTTTTGCCGGAAACCATCATGTTGGCAGTCGTCCCAAGTATTCCGTCGTCTGTCGTTCAATTTATCCCTTCCTTGAGCTACGTCACTGGGATTAGCCTGCTGCTTAAACCACACCTCGCAAGCCACAACCCTGGCACGGCTAATACAGATGATTCGTAACTTCGTTCAATCGTTCGGCATTCAGCCTCAACTTCACGATCACCACGGCAGACACATCATGTCACTCCTCTTCCGGGATATACCGAAGGTCTGGAAAGCTAAGTCCTAGCTGCATCGCAGGCATCGCTCATGTTCATATAGTCTTACTTAGTCGACAACCGGCAAGTCTCTAGAGCCCGTCTACTAGTGACCTTGGGTGTTCTAGACCATGGAACATTACCCTCCAACTTCATCTCACCGCTCGCTGAACTTGGATCACTGATGCGTTACTGGACGGTCTTGATGCATCCCGTTTCCTCCCATTACCATCATAGACAAATATGGTCAGGCGATCTACCTATCTATGACTGCAGTCTAGCCTAGCAACCTGCGCTGTCCCTCAAAGCCCCCTGAAGGCCGTCGCGGATCACTATCTTGGTTAAAGACCATGTGGAAATCCCGGATGGGGCTCGCCGCTTCGCTTATTATCTGTAGAGGAGCAACTCCCGGCCGGCTTCGCCGACTCAATCCGCCGTCTGCCCCATTTCGACGACTTCACGTCGACATCAGGCGGCGTCATGGGCTCCGCAGCGAATGGCGACATGGGGGGGCGCACGTTTCGAAGATCTGTTAGGGGGAAAGCGGACCCCCATTCCGACGACATTGTATGAAGTAGATGCTGCAAGCTATCTTCAAGGAAGCATCTTATTCTTGGCACTTCACGACACGAATCTGCACGGAGACGCCCCGTTCGGACCAGACTCCAGACTCTGGGTAGCCAGCCGCCAAAGAAGAACATGCTTCGGGGAAAGGGTGATCGTCAAAGGGGGCACAGCATACGTGCTGCAAAGCTACTTAACCGCTGTTTCAAATATCGGGCGTGTGGGCGGATCGCCGGGGCACGGCATCCCTCGACCGTTCCTTTGAACCGCATAGCTAAGGATTCGTGTTGCAGGCTGACACGGTCCAATCAGACTTCCAAAGGACGACAAAGAGAAGATTGGGGCGCAGACATGCATCAACGGCGAGCCGTTGAGTCGTCGAGATTCGAGAGTTCGAGGTGTTCTCCCCCCCCCCCCCGGCGAGGAAAGCTCTAAACCAACTATCACGTATAGCGGCTACGGCGGGCCCAATTCGATGCACCCGGACTTGTCGGTCGGCTCTGCTAGCACTTGCATATCGTGTCATATTCGCATAGCTGCGAGCGAACTTCTCGGGGCGAATAAGAGCACAACTTGAGGCGAGCCAAAACATCTTGGCTTGGCTAGCTGCCTTTGAGTTGTCCATCAGGGGGTGACCCAGATGCGGGGGTTTTGTTTTAGTCGATTCCAGCTTGCAGGCGTCGGTTACAGAATCGCCCTCGACGGGGGTCGGCATCGACTGGAGTACGTCAGCAGTTGCAGACATATTCTCAGATCAGCTCCGCCAGAACAATGCTGTCCCTCATATGGTAACATGTGCATAAAACTGTACGGATCCATCTTTAAGTAAATGTTCACGATGCCGTACGTACAGGGTGGTGTTGACAGACGTATGGTAGTGTAATGTACTTCTCACGTTGCTCGACGGCCGCCTTTTTAGTCAGCATACAGGCTTCGGGCATTGACCAATAGCTCGCCAGCATCATGACTGATTCACATTCCTGCTCACCTGTCACACAGAATGCCATGTAAGTCAACAGCCGTACAGTCTGGATGATGGATTATCTCCTGGTATGTCTGAAGGGCAAGAAAGGGAGCAACATGCACCAGCACGACCAAGCAGACTGTTAAGCGCTTGCCGAACGTTGCCTTGATAGTTGACAGTGAAGCCCTCTCTGTGTTGTCGACCTGTTCGGGCCGAGAAGACAGGGGGCGATGAACCCAATGAAGCAATTACCTTCCTGACCCCGGGCCGTCCTGTTGACACTTTGTTTGCGGCTGATATTCATGGCCTTCAGACGTTCGAAAGTCGACGACATGCCTTCTCAGATTGCCCAACGCCAATGTCTCAGCCCCCCCCCCCCCTCCTATTCAGTAGCAAAGCCACATAGCTGACGTTTGGAGCTTTGGGTGTAGTTCAACTGCCCGTGTGAATATTAATCGCGTCGTGAGGAGAGATGGATCACTGCTTGTAATTATTGGAAAGCGATTTCGTCGGTGGCAGTTTTGAGAACCAACTCGTTTTTGTGGGTAGGCACGTCGTTGCTTGCCTTCGGTTCCCTTCCTACTTCACTCGTGAAGTTGAGGAATGTGCATCATATGGATTCCTCGTCCCCCGCCCCTTGTTGGGCCGTGAGCTTCGTTTCCCACATTCCAGACCGACGAACAAGTGTTTAACATTCATCAGACTTTCCAGCCGATGGTCAGAGCCATGATTACAGGACCTCTAGTATCTTATATACGGAAATCTCCCCGGTCATTTAGATACCCTGATCGTTTACTAGTGTCCGATCTTCCACAACCCTCGTTTAGTCAGTCACTCGTTCAATATCAAGCTAGTCATTGCTTCCATTGCCCTTGTCCGTTTCCTCACTCGCAAGTTTTCGTACTTTACAGGGGTTATTTTTGGGCAACTCACATTCACTATCACGATGGTTTGCCTCAAGCAAGTCGCAGCACTAGCCGCCGCATCCTACGCAGCGGGAACGTACGCCAGCGCCATTCCTGACCTCATCGGCGGCGGCGGTGCCCCTCAGCCCTCGATCCCCGCCAACCGCGAACGAAGCAACGGTATCAGCAAGCGACAGACGGTCGGTGGCTTCATCGACACGAACGCCGGCCCCATCACCAGCGACTGCGGCGTGGCGGCAACGTTCAGTTTAAACACGCTCGGCCAGCTCGTCGTCGGCGATTCTGTCATCTCCATGAACCCGGGGACGCCCTTTATCCCTCTCCGGCCCATTAGCCCGCCGGGGAGCATCACCGTCACCTTTGCCCTCAAAAATGGCGCGTTGACCTGGTCGAGCGCGGATTTCTTTGGCGGCCAAGCTGGGTTCTGCCAAGATACCGCGGGCCAGGTGTATGCTACGTTTGCTGACCCGGCCGTGTCGTACCCGGCGAACTGTGCTCCCGTTCAACTCGGCCCCGTCGTTGGTACGTTTCCACTTTTCTGCTAATTCATTTGTTTGGTACTCCGTACGAGAGAAAGCTGCAAGACGCATATTCACTAACACCAAAAAAAAAAAAAGCATCAACATGCGGAAACACCGGCGGCCTCTCCACCACTTCGGCGCCCCCGTCCGGCTCCGTCACCACCGTCGGCAGCACCATCGTCAGCACCGGCCCTGGCGGCAGTCTGACCACCACGGTCAGCAGCTTCGCCACGACTCTCGCCCCGCCGTTCACGGCGCCGACGACGTCGGCCGTGGCCAATGGCACGCTCACGCTCCCTCCCGGCCTGTACACCGTAGCCGGCTTCGCTACCCCGGCGGGTGCCGTCTGCTCCATTGTATCTGAGTCGTGGATCGTTGGGCAGACGACGTTGCTTTCCCCGCTTGCTACTCGTGCGGTCTAGTATGGGTTCCTTGTGTAGGGCAGTTTTTTCTTTCGATAATCCATTGGACTTTTTTTTCCTTTTAGCAGGCTGAGAGCCCTCAAGGGATACAACCTTGGGGGAACGGATACTTGGTGTGTGGTATTTAGTAGGGAAATTTCGAGGTCACATTGAACACACTAATGAAAAGGTTATTCAAGTCCAAAGAAAACCAGTACTTGACTAGCCATCTTGAGAATGATGCGGCAACACGGCCTTGAATTGATTGTCCCCCGGAGAATTCAACCTTATCACCTCGAATCTTTGTCTAATTGGCCTCGCCGAGATGATGCGGCACGTCATTATGCAGGGCTGGTCGCTCTTCTTATCTCGCTTGTTTGAGGTCACGTTTGCGGTCCGCGGTCGCTCGCTTTTCTTTCCTCTGCAGCGTTGCATTTTTCTCGAGAGATAAGGTATTAGTTTGATCAGCCGTGAACCGTCAGTTCCCTTCGACGGCGGACGGACTTTAGAAATCAACGTTGGGCGGGGGATCAGATAATACGTACAACTACCAAAGAAAGAGAGAAAAAGCAAGAAAAGGGTCAGCAAGCTGGTGCGGATTAGCCGTGATTCGCGCCCGCAAGGATGTTGCTGGTGGTGGATGCTTGTGAAGCTCAATCTGGGGGAGGAGAGGGGGGGAGGTTCAATTTGGGGGGCGAGACTTTCTGGGTGAATGTCACTTTATAGGGCAGATGCGAATAGTACCACGATGAATGCTGGATAAGCCGGTGTCCATGTTGAATGTTGTTTGAAACCGAGTTCCCTTCTCCCGATATTGCTCTGGAAAACTCGAGTCGTCGTGTTAATCAAAAGTAGAAACTCTCATGCCGCTGTGATCCCCGTCGCTAACGTCATTCCTTTTACTTGACGGCAAAAACAATCCGAGAGGGAAAGCGTAAGCTGATCGTATGGATACTGAATCAGCGACGTGCGTGTGATTCCCGAGGAAGTTGCGGACCACGCGAACTCAGGTTGTCATCACAAGCAAGACGGAATACGGGCCACGGCATCAGGAAAGAGTGAGCAACTAACTGAGTGTGCTAGCTAAGTTGATCTGCCCGCAATCAAACCTTCTTTTCGGAGTGCTGCAACTTGAGCTGCAACTTGCCTCACTCGCATCATTGCCCATGTCAATCAAGCCGACGACTCCCGTCGTCAGGTTTTCTTCTTCCTTCGGCCGGACCAGCCGCTCGCTGGCTCGCTGGCTCTCTCTGATGCCAGCCTGCCGGGCGAATTCGCTATCAGTTCCAAGACATTCATCCAATGCAAGTCCAAATCCAGTCCAATCCCATCCCACTCATCCCACCACACCTCAAAATGGCGTTGGTCCATGCCGCCGCCATCCACCCCCAGAAAAGAAGAGGCCCCAACACCCAACCACCACAAACCCGGTCGTGCCAGTTCAACACCACCAACTGGCAACACACCTTCAGCTTTTCGGGGACTTCAGGGTGACGCCAGATACACAGCATCTTGCAGAATCGACAATCAGCAACCTCAACTTCTGAACCAATGTCACCACCCGTTTTACCAAGGTCCGCCCGCCGCGCCTGCCCCAAGAAACTCTGATATCGAAAAAAGGCACATGGCAGAGGCGAGTGAGAGAGAGAGAGAGAGAGAGAGAGACGAGAGATATGCGACCTCTACTCACCTCTCTATCTGTAGAACTAGAACACGAAAGATATGTACGCAATCCATGGCCTGTGCATCGTCAATAGCTGCCTCTTGATTGCTTGCCGGCAAAGAGCTGCGACGAATGACGACTCTTCGAAACCGATGGCATCAAAGACCATCGCATCTAGACAGACGCCAAAAAAACAATAGACGATGGTTCGGAGAAAGAATCTGGGCCCAGGCCGTCGAATGGAGACCGGGGGGACCAGGGGACGGGCTGCTCTACGCTACCAGCCTACCACTACCAGGGGGGGATGGGGGGAAGAGAGGCTAGGGAACAAGTCACATCCATGATGCATTGGGTCACGTCGCGTTGGATCGGATCCTGACACTCGACTCACTGACAAGGACCCCTCCACCAGGCTGGGACCCCACCACCCCCTTTGGTCTGGGCAAGGTCACAGTCTCTCTCTGTTCAGTCGTTGCTCCCCCACCACCCACTCTCCGGCTGGGCCAAGAACCCCGTCCGTTGGTCCCAGACGCTGGCAGCACGCTCGTCGCCTTGTTTGGGCTTGACAAGCACACAAGCCATGGCGGCGGTCCCGCCAGACATGATTGGCGTTCCCACGGCTCCGCCTTATCGAGCCTGTAAGAAGCTCCGGAGACACGGTGACACGGGTGACACGCGCACTCGGCGGGGGGGGGGGGGGGGGGGGGGGGGACCCTTATCAGAAATCTGCAAGACGGCGGGTGCGGATTTGCGGCTTGCCCTGCTTCTTGCAGTAGCTGTTGCTGCTTGCTGCAATCCTTCCCACCGCCCAGCCCTTCTCATCACCATCCCAGCTTCTGCTGGTCCCAGCAACCCAGCAGCACGCCGCACGCGCGACACTGGCGCTGGCGCGAGAAGCATGTAGACCAGGGGGGGTGCCTGTCAGTGTGTATCTGAGAGAGACGGACAGACAGACAGACACAGAGAGAGAGAGAGGGAGGGAGAGAGAGAGACAGAGAGAGAGAAAGAGAAAGAGAGAGAGAAGGTGTGCGTCTCCATGTATCTCTTGCAAATGCACCCAACCACTGTTGTCAACGCGGAAAGAGATAGACAGGAGAGAGGAGCCAAGAGAAGGCAGAAACAACCAACCAGTGTTGCCATTCGACCCGATGATACGGATGTTAGGGTTGATATGGCGGTAACATGCGGTATACCTCACCTTTAGCTCACCCACATGCATCAAGCCACCAACAAAAAAACCGGCGCAGCAAGAAAGGAGATACATGACACTTCCAGGTTAGGAGGGTTTCCAGAGTGACGGTCATGGCCCTCCTGGTCAAGAGCAAAAAAAGAGACAGAAGGAAGAAAAAAAAGAGCAGTAATACCAGCAAGCGGCCCCGGTTCGAGCTGAAGGGAAAGAGACCCAAAGGAGCCAAAGTACCCAAAGTAGCTTGGCTGTGCCGTACGTCTAACGTCTAGCGGCGGAGGTACTTCGTTTCGAAGCTTGGTTTGAAGGAGGTTCCCATTCGCACGCGCACACGACGACAATCTTTCTCTTTTTTCGTTCTCCCATGCCCATCCCGATTCCCCATCCATCCCATGCTCATTGCTCCATGCTCGTTGCTCGTTGCTCATTGCTCGCAGCTCTCGCACATCCATCCCCGGACCTGTCCAGTCCTGTCCTGTCCTGTCCAGCCCAGGCCTATCCGTACCGATCCTACTTAACCAAAGTCCACCCACTCTTCAAAATTTTCCTTTTTTCTGCAGATTTTTAAGGTCCCAAGCCTTTTTCTTTTTCATTTCCCACTTATTAGTCTTCCCATCTTGCTGGACGAAGGAACGGGGGTCAAGTAACAAAAGTTAACAAATACCACAAGGCCCTTCTTACTCTCTATTTAATCCTTTCCGAGCTTCGTTTCTTCCCCTTTTCCCTGGCTTCTTCCTCATCAAGCCCCCCCCCCCCCCTTCACCAGCCACTTTGGGACGGGATCCCCGACGACGGGTGCGCGGGCGATTCATCTTACAGATACCTGTCTGTGTGCAATTCCAACGGCCGACACACAAACCAACAGACACAGTCCAAGACCCAGGCACCACAGACCTTTGACCAGACCAACCTTACCGGCGATAACTACCGTACTACTAATACCCAAGGGCATAACGCAACGGCCACCAACACCTTCTGTTCCCTGGACATTCCAGCCACCCCCAACGCCAAAGACACGAACGAGCGACGTATTGAGGACCTTCTTTGGACGACCTGGCCACCCCGGAAGGATATATAGACGATAGACGAACCCATCGATCCATGTTGCAGCCCCTCCTACCGTGACAGGGTCCTCTCACTTCTTTACTCTTCGACCTCACGAGACCACCATCCATCTTGAGCTTCGAGGCCCTTGTCGTATGCTGCGTCTTCCCGCCTGGCGCTTACCATCGTCTGTCGCCAGCTGCCTCCACTAAGAATTCGACCAGCCCCAACTCTCCGATTTTCAACCACCCCCGAGCCAGCGTCTTTTATTCCCTGTCACCGGGTGGTTCTCCCTAGTCTTGACGGCAAATCCGCCTGAAAAGACAATTGCCCGCCTAATATTAAGCGACTTTTCTCTCCTTCCAGGACCGGACAGCTATCATCCAAACTGGGTCGTGAAGTCGACTAGACCTGCGGGCCAATAAGATGGATTCACCACACCACATGGGCATTCGCGAGCTCAATGTGAGCAACTGGCACTCTCACAATGCCCTTACCGATACCTTCAATCATGCGGTCCCCGCCATCAAGTCAAGTGCAGGTAAGAGCTAGCACCATTTTTTCCTACTCATTTGCTTTCTCGTTACGTCTTCCCTGCGTTTCTGCCCTGCAGCTCTTTTTAAATCATTTCGTCTTGGCCACCTGTTCTTCAACGTTACCTTTCCTCTCATCTTGGCATTCCTATTCAACCTCACCTCGTGTGTCTCTCTTTCACAACTCACTCATACGCCCACCGCACTCTTCAACACATCGTCATCAAGTTCATCCAATCTCATCTTCCAACGCTCCGGCAGGAAGGACCGTTTGGGGATCTGGCTTTTCAATCAGAACGTGCAGCAAAAGCGCCGAAAGTTTCGGCCACGTTCACGGTTATCGGCCTTCTCGGTGCTCTAGACCAATCCAGAAGAGGACGTGGAACACGGAATTCTCATCTCAACTATTGACAAGCTTTTCATCCTGTCTGTCACAACCTCGCAACTCACTACACCTGACCACATCTCACTTTTTCTCTTTTGCGGCTTCCATCAATGCCCTCAACTTGGACCCGACATCACGGCAAAGTATACTAACTAGTGTGCCCAGCTTTCTTCACATTCCTCCGCGCCAACTTGGTCCTGAACCCATCCGCCATGTCATCCAACACGAACACGCCCGTCCTTCAGCCTACGGTGGCACCCAACCCCCATCGCCCGGCAGCACCATCTCCACTGGCAACATCTCAAACCCTCGACCCCTTCGACGACATCCCTCCCTTGTCGCTCGAAGTCCTCTCCACCCGCGAGGACAAGGCTGAAGCCCTCCACCTAGTAGCAGACTCCATCGCCCAACAGCGCCAACAAGCCGCCTACTCCCTAGTCTTCCACCCCGTCCCGCTCGCAGGCCTCACAATGACCCTCGGCGTCGCCTACCAGTACTCCTACGCCCGCCGCGGCGACATCGGCCTAGCCTTCACCCTCTTCAGCGGCATCATCATGACCTACCTCCTCGCCATCCGCTGGGCAACCTCCGGCTACCTGCCCCTCGCAGAGCAAATGTCATGGTCCTTCATCCGGCCCCACCCAGACGCCTCCGCCGACGAAGAAGACCTCGTCCTCGGCACCCGCTTCGGCAACGAGCTCGTCGGCGCCCTGGTTCTGCACCTCGAGCCCGCGAGCCCGGCCGTCGCATCGACTTTCAGCAGCCGGCGCCGCAATAAAGCCTCGAGCTTCCGCGGCGGTAAAGGCATCATCCGCGCCTGGACGACCAAGCTCCGGTACCGCGGCAAGGGCGTCGGCACCGACATGCTCGACGAGGCTGTTCGCATTACGCGCGAGCGGTGCGGTAAGGACGCCGAAGTCGGCTTCGCGCTCGAGCACGCCAACAGCCGCATGGTCATGCCCGAGTTCTTCAACGGCGTGTTTAGGAAGCGCGAGCGCTGGGCCGCCAAGACGCTTGATGGCGTGTTGGCTGAGCGGGAGCTCACCAAGAAGAAGAGGTGAAGACCGTCGTCGTCTTCTCACCTTCACCATCTACAAAAAACAACAGACATTTGTTCTATTTGGTATTGCTACCTATTTATTCGCAAGCTTTTGTGTGTGTTCCTACTGTCCTTTTTCCTGGACAACTTGGAGGGACGGTGGACGGAAATTGGTTATGAATATACCCTAGAGCTGTGGGAAACAAATGGGCGGGCGCCACTCACACTGTCACCGTTCTGTCATCCCGCGGGCATCTTTTTTATCTTTGGTTGTCTTTTTCAAAGTTTCTTTTTCAAACGATACCCCTCGTTATATCAAACGGCTTTCTGTTTTCTACTGGCGCCTCGGGTGGGCGATTATACAATGTTTTTTGTATAGAAAGGAAAGAATGGAGGAGGATCAAGAGTCCCTCGTGATACCCCCTTCCATCAAGGGTGTGGAAACCTGGACAACGGCACGGAGATACTACTAGAAGTGCAGCTTGGAGAGAGGAACGGGGGTGAGATTCTTGAGAATCTCAATCTCCCCACTCTCATCTGTCTGCCTAATATAAACCTTTCGTTTGGCAACATACACTTGACAGCCTCAGGGGATACCTAATGTACGCAATGTGATTCAAGAACATAGAATGGAATAACCGGTGTGTATATCCAATCACAACGTCTAGTGTCGTCCATCTACTCAGGAACCGTTCCACCTACGGTCTGATAGCAACATGCATGTGAAGCACATCCCCAACCTGAGGGGGAGAACCTCTACGTTTCTGCACGGCTTGTAGTGATAACGACTGACGTCTCCATACGCCTATCAGCCACGTCTGGCCACCGTAAGTCCTAGCTGATATACCACAAATCACTTTTTTGCTGTCCCGCTTGCTAATTACTGATTCGTTCGATCATGTACTCCCAGAATCGGCCAACATGTACGGGTTGCGTTGCTTCCTGCATCCCAAGGCTCGAATATTCCGGAATCGATTCCCAAATTCTTTTCCAGTCTGCCTTTGGTGATCACAGGATATCTCTCTCTGCCTTATCATCCCAGGCGGTCGATATTTCTCAAACGGCCCCACACGAGATCTTCTCATCAAAGATGCTCTCTTGCAAGACCATGGCCCCAACGATGGGATCCAGGTAAAGAAAGTGACACGCAAACAGTCCCCATACCGTGGCCCCCTTTGCACATACTCGTACTCGCTTCAACCGGAACGCCAGACATGCCTATACCCATAAGACAAGTAAAAGAGGGACCACAAAGGAGGGTAGGTCCAACGGATGCTGTGTGGTGACAGCACGCTTTCTGACTGATGGTGGAAACCCTTCGGCATCGTTGACTCAAACGACTTGCCTCTGACAAATCGAACCGACGCAAGAGGGGAGATCGAGGAAATGCTTTCAGTCGTGGCCACCTGCGGCCTTGCCCTTGCGGGACTTTGGGTCGACAAAGGTGTCCGGGTCGAAGCCGTAAATGGGCTTGCCCTTGCGAGTAAGGCAATGCAAGACCTAGCGGGAAGTACAACGTCAGAATTTCATTTGCAGAGCACCAAACTCCCAGCACTCGACTCTGCCAATAAAAGCTGAGGGGCAGGCACGCCCCTTAGTCCAGGTAAGCAGACTTACATCCTTAATAGTGATAGTCTTCGCCTTACGATGCTCCGCATACGTCACGCAGTCTCTCAGGACCTGTCGTCATTCATTAGCCTTCTGTAAACGTGAGAGTAATGTGTGTGTGTGTGTGTGTGTGTGTGAGAGAGAGAGAGAGAGAGAGAGAGAGAGAGAGAGAGAGAGAGAGAGAGTGAGAGAGAATATACTTACAGACTCGAGCCAGGTCTTCAGAGCCTCGCGGACATCATCGTAAATCATGGCGGAAATTCGCTTGACTCCACCGCGACGGGCCAGATGACTAAGTGAGAACGAGCGGTTAGCTTCAGATTTGTTTCTAAAAAGAACGAATAAGGTAGATTGAGTGTAGTAGTAGAAGAGGGATAGAGCAGGCGAGGTAGGTAAAGCAGCTAGTGTGCGCGGGTGAGCATGAGATGAGCCTCAGTGAAGCAAGAGCTCAACTCAAGTCCCCTTCACCACCCTCATCTCAGAAAACCCGAGACCATCCGCCTCGCGCAGGTGTACCAAGAAACCCCAACGAAGAAGAAAATCTCTCGCAATCAACCAAAAAATGAAGCATACCGAATAGCAGGCTTAGCTAAACAAGTGATCAAAGTCAGCTCCTCATATCCAAAGTGTATAAGCCATCAAACCGAATTCAAGTTCAACTCACTAATACCCCGAATACAATCCTTCATTATTTTCCTATCCTCCTCATCAGCAGCCAAATCTCACCGGCCGTACGTGAACGGCACCACAGAGAAGAAACCTTACCGGTGTCTCTTCGCACCAGTACCCGCGTTCTGCAGCACCGTCTTGCCCTTTCCGCCCTGGTGCACTTTGGAGGCGGTACCGCGCTTGGCGCCGCCGGAGCTGGAGGCACCCGGGCCACCGCGGTATGCGGCCATGGGAGGCATTTTTGTGATGATGGCGATGTGTTGATGCGACGAAACAGGTGGGGTGTAAGATATTCGCTGGAGGTCTCTGTCGATTTGTGATCGTGAATTCGCAAACTGGAGTTGAGGTGATGATCGTGGAGACTGTTGTGATTGGTGATACCTTGGGACGGGAGTGGCAGCGATCATGTGGGGGAACAACCACCTTAGGGGCGCGTTTAGGCACAGATACTCAGATGCAAGCACTGGAGGCAGTGGAGGTACGGAGTACCATTGCTAGGTATCTAGAGGCAAGGGCGACGGACCTGCCTTATCAGTCTTGTCTCGAGTCTTATCAGCCTGGCCCGTGCTGAACTGGCCCGTGCAAAACACCGTAGAAACATGAAGAAGGCACTGTGGAAACTCATCCATCGCAATGCAGGAGCAGGGAACTTGCCGGCGAATGTTTGTCATATGTCTTGTTTCAAGAGAGAACTCTGAAGTCGGGGTCGGGGTCTATTTGATGCCCCAGCTTTTGGGCAAGCTGAGAGCTGAAGCAATACCAGGCAGAGGAGCTATGCTGCCTTCGGGTTAGGCGTGGAGCATGAGGCATCACGATTTCCAGTGACCAGAAGTTTGCACGACATATTCAGAATATTGAAAGTGTGTATTTGTATTAGAACAGCTTTATAGAACAAGTATGCGTACCCAATTCAACGAGTGACCATAGCCCCCATCTGAACGCCTAAACCAGACCGGCAACAACTACCCAAGAATTTCATCGCCGTCGTTTCATTTGTCCATACGTCTATTCGGAGATGAAGGTGGCCTCACTGAAGCAGAGACCCTCTTCGGAGATTTCTTGGTCTCCAATCTTGAGCTTCAAAGTAAGCTTTTTCTCTGTCGGGCAGTACTGCAATCATCGTCAGTTTGGTTTCTCGGGATACGCGGGACACGTAAATCTCGGGAACGGAACTTACCTGGTAGATGTATGGCTTGGTGCCGGCCGTGCCAGCTACTATCTTCTTGACGAAGCCGGGGACCTCAGCCAGTACGTCAACTCTGTCCAACCTCTCGCCGAGCGGGCCTTCGATGATGCCCTCCACAGCCTTTCCATCTTTGTCCTTGCCGGACCAAGTGAACTTGATCTCCTCGGGCTCGGGCCACTCGTTGACGGAGTCGTTCTTCGCCTTGGTGTGCTTGGCCGTCTGGGTGACGCCGCCGTAAATCATTTCGCCGTCCTTGGCGATACCGCCGACACTGACGGTCGTCGAGCCGTACGAGGGAGGGGTGGTGTACTCCATCATGACGGCCGAGTAGTTGGGGCCCTGGAAGTCGACAAAGTTCCACTTGGCCGCCGCGTGGTGGGGCTTCATGCCCTGCAGCGCGTACACGTAAAAGGCCCGGCCCTTGAAGTCGACGGCGCCGTCCTTGGTGGTGATGGTGCCCTCGGTGATGCAGCGCGGCCAGAAGGCGTGGCGCATGGTGCCCCACGGCTTCGACATGTCGGTGCCGAACAGCGTCTTGCCCGTCTTGCCGGCGTGGAAGCCGGGCGACATGCGGGTGACCTTAAGATTGACAATGGCGTTCTCCGAGTTCATGCTCTTGATCGTGTAGTAGGTGCCGTCCTCGGACAGCTCGACAGCGCAGTCATCGGCGTAGAAGGACATTCGGTCCTCGCTCACCTCGTAGTGGCTGAGCTGTGTGGTCTCCCAGAGCGTCGGCTTCGACTTATTAGGGTAAAAGATCTTGGCGTTGAACTGGCATGTTGTGCGGATGCCACTATGAAGAACATGAGGTCAGTATGCACAGACAGATGCAAAGGGCAGAGAAGCTATCCCGTACCCAACGTTGCTGTAAATGATCTGGGCCAGCCCAAGGTGTCCGTTGTCGCCCATCAGGTAGAAGCTCTGCGTCTCAACAGAGGTCGAGTCGGCCGCAATCCATTTCAAGTCCTCCTTGGTGGTCTCTGTGTGAGTGGTCGTCTTGGCCTCCTCGGCGACAGATTTGATGGCTGTTGGGCCATAGATGGGCTCTTGGGTACCCGCCACATCGGCGAGCCTGGCAGAATTAAATGTTAGCCTTGGCTGACGCAACATGGAGGAACGGCAAACGCCTATTACTTTTGTTGCGCCCACTTGAACATGTTGACGGCAGGGCGCGTGAGCGTAGTGACGACGGATGGGAAACGGGAGGGGTATAAAGGTGGTCGTCGATGTCGGTAAAATGCAGCAGGTCTATACACGGGTAACAAGAGTAACAAGCTTCTTGGTTGTGTTCTTAAGAGGAAAACCGAGTTGAGAAGAAGTTGAGTTGACCGCCCCAAACAAGAACCAGCGGAGGGGCCGAGGGGTCATCCCACGACCCAATGACGGTGAAACTGTGGCTAATGCGACCAGGGTGGATCCAGCGCTCCCCCGAGCATCCCGGTCGCTTGGACCTTTGGCGCGTGGCTGGTGCATCCAAGGCTCCTAAATTTTCCACCTCCGAAAAGGTGCAGCATCTGATTGATTGATTGAAGCTTGGTTGTCTGTCGCGCGGCGCAATATACCTGTCCATCACCACCCACCCGCACTCCCTCTTTCCCCCAACGAGCAGACTTTGTCTGTATATCCGCCACCATGTCCAAGAGAGGAGCGACGATTGCCGACCAGGTTGTGAAGCTCATCGTGGGCGCTGGGCAGGCCAGCCCGAGTCCCCCCGTTGGTCCTGCGCTGGGTAGCAAGGGTGTCAAGTCGATGGACTTTTGCAAGGTGAGACTTGCCCTTAGGACTCTGATGAAGCAACACATGCCACTCTCTGCCCAACATCTGTGCTTTTAAGGGGGCGGTTATGCCATGGTTAAGATCAATGCTAACAAACGTGTCTTTGCTCAATCCATAGGAGTTCAATGCAAGAACAGCACACATTATCACCGGCACGCCGATGCCCTGCCGAGTTACTGTCCGAGGCGACCGATCATTCCACTTTGACATCCGCACACCTCACACATCGTGGCTTCTCCTAAACGCCGCCGAGGTGCCGGTCAGCAAGAAGGGCAAGCGGAAGGGCGCAACGAACCCCGGAAAGGAGACGGTCGGCACTGTCAGCTTGAAGCACGTCTACGAGATCGCCAAGATCAAGCAGACGGAAATGCGTTTATCGGGTCTCAGCCTCGAGGCCATCTGCCGCTCCGTCATCTATCAGTGCAAGTCCATTGGTATCAACGTCGTGCCATAGAGCACGTGTCCTGCAACAGTCTATTTTCAACCACGTATAAAAACGGAGTCAGGCGCGGAAAGAAAGCATCCACTTGTATACCATCTCAGACGAAGAAGAGCGTGCCCATGTACAATTATTGGAGGATCGAGGCGAGCGAGGCGAGGTTAGAATAGCAGACAGGAGGTACTGTACGATGAGAATCTCAACAGCCAAGCAAATGCAGAGCACGGCGACAAAAAAACGTTCATACACTAGCGCCGCGTGGTCGGAACATGGCACGCCTGAAGGGATGCTTCATGCGCCCCAGAAGTCCCAACTGAGCAGTGACGTTGAACATATGTCTCGTTTTGAGGCGAAGTCCGTTCTCACGCTTCTCCTTGCGCACGATGGTGCGTGTACAATGACCATCCGTGAGAGCCCGAAACGACTAGATAGGTAGCCGCCTGGTCGTTGTCCAAGAAATCGAGAGGGAAGAATAGACATAAAACTCAAGGACTGACGAAATGCCAATTGTGGTACGCCTGCTTGAGTAGAACGCAGGGCGAGTTGGACTGTAGCCCAGCCAGAACTCTGTAAGTCGAATGGAGAGGGTGTGAGGGGAAAGCCTCATCGTAGACAAGAGTAGGTATTGGGGAACAAGTTGACAAGGTCGGCCCAAAGTAAGATCTGCGATCAGCGGTTTAGAACTGACATGCAAGCGGCAAAGCCAGCACATCGGTGGAGAAGAGCTGGCTCAAAATCTCCCGAAGCTTCGCAATCGAGATCGACAAAACTGTTGAGAATGGAAGCTTACACGTCTTCCTCCTCATGGTTGGTGAGGTGTGTCGCAGGCAGTTTCTTCCCTGTCCCATGGTGCGAAGCTTCCTCTGAGAAGGTCGCGCGAGAAAGTGCTTACTGTGTAGCATTGGGTAACGGGTCCCGGCGGCAGGTGCTTGAGCTCTATCGGTGGAGGCCCGCTGGTTGCGATGAAATGCAGGCCCAGATCTAGACAATGCCAGGGCAATGCCGATGGAGATGGTTTGCCCACCTGGTGCCCCTGGAAAGCGGCCCTCTATTGCAGCGTGCCTGAATAAAGGGTTCCATCAGCAGCAGCCTGTCATCTGCGAGAACGCCTCCAAGCCTCATGAGTGTGGGACCGATTCGAAGCCGGTGATGTGACGGAACAGTGGCCGTTTTCATGCTGCAGATGCAACACATCAGCAACCACGCCACTGTGCTGGGGCAGCTGGGCTCGTCGGTCTGGAACCGGAGATGCGGCGGTGTTCGTAGGGCGGAAGGGCGGGACGAAAGGCAGGCCAGTTAAGGTACGTCTCGGCATGTGCTCTGAAAGTGTGTCTCGGGCTAGTGGGCAGCTGGGGAAGAGCGGGGGCAAAGCTCCGTCTGTTCCTGTCCATCACTCCATCAGAACCTCCGTCCTGCCTTTGCTTGCCGGAAGCTGACAGAGAGCTGGAACTCACGGCTCGTGTAAGCCGGTGGATGACGGAGTTTTTGGTGGGCCGTCGGATGTGCGTTCAAACTTCCCAGAGGTGATCTGTTGTTCGTTTGTTGAAGCCTGACGGAGGGCGAAGACGACTTGGGATTGGTGTGCGTTTGTTTCCTGGCGGGCTTGACTCGTTCGTCCCGGCCTAGGCAAAAGGTGCATTGTCAAATAATCTGGCGCGCATTGGCGTTCGTTGACCTTGTGGACGGGCATGCCCTGGTTATCGTCGGCGCAATGAAGGACCTGAACCAGAAGAAAATATTTTCAAGAGGCGCGAGAAATTGAAAGAGTCATCGGCCTGGTGTGGAGACCGGGCCGCAGCCGAAGCAGGCAAATACCATCAACATCCATGATTGCGCGCTCGTTGGTGTCCTGCGAGGTTCGTAAAAACGGTTCAAATGTTACCAATAGGTACGGCCGAGCCGCCGAATAATAACGCCTCACAGCTGTCGCATGTGTCACGGATGCGAAGCCGAGAAACCAGCCCTTGGCGCAAATTGGGGGCACATTGAAGCCCTGAAGGCAGGGACTTTCGGGAGGGATCTTGGAAAAAGCCGATGACCGACGGTCCATGAATGATCTAAGACTAGATAATTAGAAGCGGCTTGTCATGAGGTAGAAAAAAATAGAACATTCCGATCACCACAGGGACAGGCAGGAGCTGCCAGGCTGGCAGGGCAGGCAAGGGCCTTCTCTCCTTCGGCCGGGTTCCTGATGCAGATACGCGCAATGCATCCATGGTTTTTGGGGGTACTGCCAAGTATTTGTCCCGTTCCCAAGCCGTAAAAAAAAAAAACCTCCAGTCTCCAGCCTAGGTAGTAACGCCCCCCCCCCCTTCTCTCGGCTCCCTTTCGGCGGCCCTGGTGCTCCAATGCCATGTCACCGTGTCTTATCCAATCCACCGCTTCCCCGATAAGGAATGGATAACGATCCTGTTGACCATTCAGATTGCATCCTTTTCAGGCTCACTCACTCAGCAGAGGTATCGTCTACTTACTGACCCTACTACAACACCGTACCTACCACAGTAGGTACCTGGCTCGGCGCGGGTTACGGGAGGTCAGACGGACCCGTGAACAGCGCACTCGAGATTCCGCGACACGTATCTGTACCGGGTTCGGGGTCACTTTAATACTTTCCCCCTCGGGTCCCGGTGTCTACATGCCGGCCATGTCTCTTCAGGTGACCTCGTTCATCGCCTTTTCATCCATCCGAGTCTTGAGCCAGATCAATACAGGGCGAGAAAGACGTGAGATGAGAACCTAGAGCATGCGACAACGTTGTTAAATAGTACATGTCACATCACAGGGCAGGGAAAGATCCTCCGGCTAGGCCCTTTGATATTTTGTAACACTTACCCATGCCGTGCATTTTGACCAGTACCTTCTCATGAGGCAAGGTACGGATACGCAGTGATTAGGTACTTCCATTGACTCTTGGTCTTAGTGCATCTCAAAGTGCCCCACCATCCGCAATTGGCATCCACACTCATCCAGTCCTGGGTATCCGTACTTTTCTCTTTCCCAAGCCCGGCCCTTCGAGTTGTCGTCGTTTGGTCTTGGTTTTCTTTCCTCTTGCTCCTCTTCCCCGCCGTCTACTGTCATCATCGTCCCTTTTTCGACTCCAGAGAAGCTGCAGACGATAAACAGTCACTGCCCGCAGCTCCAGCTAAGCCCATGGCTACCCCGTCTCCTGCCCGCGATCCTCAGAAAGAGGACGTCAAAGTCCCAGGTACAAACGCCATATCCTTCCGTCTGTTCCGGCGCGCGCAACCCCGCCCTCGGTTCGTCTGTTGCGCATGTCACAGTCAAACAAACACTCACTCGCCCAATGTCCCACGTCCACGCCCACCCTCACACTTCACGCTCATGCCCCAAGCCTGCACCTTACCCTCAACGCAGATCCCGTCTTGTGCTGACCGCTGTGCGCAATGCCTAGAAATCACCCACAATCCTCCAGATAACCCAAATCTCCACAAAGACGACAAGATGCCCCCTCAAGATACTCCCGCCGTCCGCTTCGCTTCTTCCGTCGAAGAGATAACGCCAACCGTCACCACGACATCACCCACCGAGACTCTTTCTCCCACCGACGCTGACGCCGCTACCGGAGACGGCGAAGGGTCCTTGGCCGAAGTAACGCCCGATCAGATTAGAGCTCTCTCAAAGTCCCTCCAAGGTGCACCGTTGCAGCAGCGCCGGATGAACGTCTTTGGCTTCGAACCATACTCACTACCTGCATCACGCGTAAGTAGTCTGTCCGTCATAACCCTTCACTTTATGCGTGGTCTCGGAGCTTCTTGAAGTTGTTTCCTGTTGGCTTGGGCGTCCGCCCTGATGCCTTGTGTTTCAAAGTCTCATACCTACCTTACCCCTCCACCCAACCAACACTGCCTCGACGTTCAGACTTGTCTTCCCCAAACATCTCACCTCGTCTTCGCTATAATCATCTGAGGCTTCTTCTCGATGGAGCTCCTCGTCGGATCCTCTAATGATCAGTCTCATGCTCATCCCACTTACCCCCCAACCTGTCATGACAACACCACTCGGCCATTGCATCGCACGCACCAGCCTGCACAACTTGCTTCATACTAACCACCGGCACCTATAGGTCGGCTCACGAGAGGAAGACTCCGACAACAGTCGACTGCCGACCCCGAACTCCAGTGGACCGAAATCGCCGCGGTTTGGTCCGGCGCATCCGATGCAGTCACCTCCCCTGACCCCGGCGGGGACCGATCCCTCAGACCCGACAGCCAGGAAGAGCAGAGATCAAAATGACGATCGCAAGTCATCTACGAGCGACCCCCATGTCATCACTCCGCAGGCCTCGTCCTCCCAGGATTCACCACCATCATCAACCAGGAAACAATTGCCCGTCCGAGGAAAGTCGACGGAGGAGGTACCTCAGCGGTCAGCTTCAGCAGAAGACCAACCACACGACGCGAGGTCGCATAGGAGGGGAATGTTCTCTGTTGGTCCTGGAGGATCAGTGCCGGTTTCACGAGAATCTAGTCCATCCCGGGCCTCACTGTACTACTCCAAGCCGATGACGCCAGGCGGAGATGCCAACGACCCTTATGCGGCTCACAAACGCCAACCGCCGGCTCCGGCCCCTCAGCGGGGCCAAATCGACTCAAGATTCGTCTTCTCGCGCCGAAAGAATAAGCACGGGTCGCCATCTGGTTCCACTTCGAGTCTGAGCCGAGCAAGCGACAAGCGACACTCCGGGCTCTTGGGCATGAAAGGACATGGTGACGAGCTGCAGGTCCCTCACGATGACTCGGCTAGCATCACGAGCAGACAAGGCTCCTTTGCCGACCTCAAGAGGTTCTTCAAGGTCGGCGGACATCACAAGATGAAGAGGGAAGCTTCACCATCCTCAATCCGCTCGGGCACCAAGACACCCCCTACCAGAGGGTCGCAACACGTTCCCTTTGGAGACGACCACGGACTTACTTCAAAGTACGGAAAGCTCGGCAGAGTGCTTGGATCAGGCGCTGGAGGATCTGTTCGTTTGATGAAGCGCAGTGATGATGGTGTCGTTTTCGCCGTGAAGGAATTCCGACCGAGACATTCTTACGAAACCGAGAAAGAGTACGTCAAGAAGCTGACGGCCGAGTTCTGCGTTGGCTCAACTCTACACCACGGGAATGTCATCGAGACATTGGATATTCTGCAGGAGAAGGGCAAGTGGTACGAAGTCATGGAGTACGCTCCATTTGACCTTTTTGCGTGTGTCATGACTGGTAAGATGACGCGAGAGGAAGTCGGCTGCTGCTTCTTGCAGATTCTCAACGGCGTGACTTATTTACACAGCATGGGTCTTGCTCATCGGGATCTGAAGCTTGACAACGTCGTGGTCAGTGAGCATGGGATTATGAAAATCATCGACTTTGGTAGTGCCCATGTCTACAAGTACCCATTCGAGAGCGACATTGTCCTCGCTTCAGGTTAGTCTTTTTGTTCATATTTGCTTCGAAGCATAGGCTGATTGATTATAGGCATCGTGGGCTCTGATCCTTACTTGGCCCCTGAAGTTTACGATGAGCGAAAGTACGATCCCCAAGCGGTCGATATTTGGTCATTGGCAATCATCTTTTGCTGCATGACATTGCGCAGATTTCCTTGGAAGGTCCCTCGCATGACGGACAACTCATTCAAGCTTTTCGCTGCCGAGCCTACACCAGGACACGATCCCAAAAAGCTGATTATGCCGTCAAAGTCTGCCAACGACCTCTCCAACACCCCTCAGAGAGACATTTTTGAGGACGGCAAGCATCACAAGCACGAGCCAAAAGAAAGTCAGAAGGAGAGCCAAAAGGAGAACCAGAATGAGAACCAGAAGGATGCTCAAAAAGACGGCGAGGGGAGTGTAGCACAAGGAAGCTCGACGCAAACTTCGACAAAGTCTGACGGCCAGCAACCAGCAGACAAGAAGGAGGTCATAAGAGGTCCCTGGCGGATCTTGCGTCTGCTTCCCCGCGAGAGTCGTCACATCATTGGACGCATGCTGGAGATCAAGGTGAAGGATCGTGCGACGATGCAAGAAATTCTTGATGAGCCCTGGGTTGCCAACACAGTCATTTGCCAACAACCCGAGCCGGGCCGCGTTGTTCACGCAGAGGATCACATTCACACCCTTGAGCCACCACAGCCCCCGAAGTAGGGGCCATTGCACGGGCGCGGTCACCTCAAATTGCATGTCTGAAAGGCGTTTAATCGGTTGTAGATGGGTTTTTGGAACGGAACAGGGTGTGGAAGACACGTGGCATGATATGAGCCCCTCGTAGTTGAGGAAACAGCGATGATATTGGAGCTTGGGTGGTATGGGAGTCCGTCTTGACGTTTTGTAGATGCTGTTGCGGCTCCGCTCACGGCCTTGGATCAAGCGATTGAATGGTTAGATAGGTAGATAATGTTATTCGGTAAAGACTCAATCGTCGACCTGGATTATGTTCAAGTGATGCAAAGATATGTCCCGTTCCAGGTACTTTGGGAGAGAAGCTCCTCCTCCAAACATCCGTAGATGGTTGGTCATTGTCCGGACATCGTCGAATGCGATACGGTCGATTGGTAAGTACGCTCTCCTTCCTCGGCATATGCAGCCAATCGGACGATATCCAGGGGTATGCAATGGTGGGGCTTTCGGGAAATCCTTTGGCCGATCGGCCCAAAAAATTGTTGACATTCTGGAAGCTCTTGGAATAGCTTCAAGGCTTAAAGTTCGTTCCCCGTATCGACTTCACACTTCACCGATCGTCATCCGCCCAATTCCTCCACACAGACGAAAGTTGCCGCTCTAGCTGTCAATTCATCTCAACAGTCACAATGGTACGTTGGCGCCCGCGATTCCACGCAGCAGTCTCGACAGCAGCCTTCCCCTTCAGCCGGCCGCATGCCCGGCATCTCCCCCATAATGGCTCTTCGCATTGTCTACCGCCATTGGACAGAAATTCAATATCCTACGAACATATTCGCTGACTAGATGCCGTGCAGTCTGCCTCCTTCCGCTCCATCCGCGCCCTCGCGCCCCTCCTCGACCGCGTCCTCGTCCAGCGCGTCAAGGCTGAGACCAAGACCGCCAGCGGCATCTTCCTGCCCGAGTCCTCCGTCAAGGAGCTCAACGAGGCCAAGGTCCTCGCCGTCGGCCCCGGTGCCCTCGACAGAGACGGAAAGCGGTTACCCATGGGCGTCGCCTCTGGTGACCGCGTCCTGATCCCCCAGGTACGTTTCCAATCCTGATGGCATAGCAACATCAACCACAGCGGCGCCAATCGTCAACCTCCCCCCCCCCCCCCCCCCCCCCCCCCCCCCATTCTTTGCTCTTGCATCCGGTCTGTGAACGTGCAGCGTCGGGAGTCTGCAGGGCCTGGAGCCCCTTTTAATTGATACCCTTCGCCGCATTATGTCGGCGGAGCTGGAATTAGAGTAATGAGGTGACGGGGGGTGGGAGAGGACAGGATGGCGCGGTTGGGATTGAACGGGTGCAACATGTGGACACGATGTATTGACAAGATGTGATGCAGTTCGGCGGCTCCCCCGTCAAGGTCGGCGAGGAGGAGTACCACCTCTTCCGTGACAGCGAGTAAGTTCAGCACCTCCCACATACGCCTCTCAGCCAGCGATTGCTGGCGGATGGTGCCCCACGGAAACAGGGTTACTAATGCCCATGCCTTCATCCAGGATCCTCGCCAAGATCAACGAGTCATCATAAGAGAGAAATCTGTGCCAAAAACCGACTACAAAAGAATTGAAAAAGATACCCACGAGGTCTTTGACGTGTGTATAATACCGTGTATCAAAAGAAACTCTAAAAATGAGAGCGAAGTAAGGGAGAGGGTGTATAATCTTTTCCAGTATTCAATTTACCTGGAATATTCAACCCCCATCAACCTTGGGAAAGACTGTACTATGGAAGGAGTGACAGGTCCGGCCTTTTGCATAGGGACTATTTTGGTGTAATAGTAGGTGTCCGCGATGGAGGAGACCGGGGAACTGCTTAGAAGACGGGGCAAAGGGGCCATGAGTCGAGTAAGGGTGACGAGGCGAGACTCGGGGAGAGTGGCACTAGCTTTGCCCTCCCCCCCTCACTTCTGCTCTTGTCATAAGCTGGAACCGCTTCTCCCTCAGTGGGTTTTGATTCATAAAGAAACCTCTCCTCTCTGCCATTCAAGTTCCTTCTCCCTGATGCTTCGAGCCGTCCGATGTGATGTTCTCGTAGCGAGCTCTGGTTGGCTGGTGTGGTTGCGCTTAGCAGAGTTGTGGCATCTGACAACTAGCATTGACGCATGACTGCCGTCCCGGAGTTCCTATGAGCGAATCAAGTGAAGAGACAAGTGTTACTCATAATACGGCTCAGAGAGTCTCCATCTATCAGGGACAAAGGATGAACAACTCGTCATGACATCTCAACCACCAATTACGAAGGAGGTCATATCATCCACTAGAACCCCCAGATAGGCGTAACCATCCCGACTTGTCACCTTGACACGATCGAGAGGCTGGCGCGAACACGAGATGCTGTTCACCGAACGCACCCGGTCAAGTCAGATGAGTCAAGCCTGTGAGTGTTACCCAAGCAAGGGAAACTGGCGCTGCATCGAATGGTAGGTCTCAAATCAGAGTCGGCTCAGAGAGCCCGATCAGAGACAATTCAGACTCATAGAGACAAAATTGACAGATTGGGGCATAAGAAGGCAAGGTTTACTTTCAGTTGTCAAAAGCCCATCCCGTACTCCATAGAGTAGGTAGCAGTAAACAACCAACAGCCACGACATGACGTACGTCATCTACCTCGCTACGTTGACGGGCTTGATCCCTTTTCGCCAAGACGGGACAAATCGTTTTGCGCAAGCAGCCGCAGCACAAACCCTCGCTCTCACTTACTCTCTCTCTCTCTCTCGGATGCGCACATACGAGGGGCACACGTGCATACCAAAACAAAATTGTTTGGTGTCTAAAGACTACTTAGCCTAAGGAGGTTCTCAGACCCGATCAATGTCTGAGATACTTTGTCTTGGCAGGTTTGACTGTAGTTCGGAATGGTGCGGCGTAGCGGGAAGCATCAGACAAGACAAGTCGAGACGTAAGGGGAGACCGAGTTATGATTTTTTTTTTTTTTTTTTTGCTGCTGGACCCGCGAGTGTGGGCGGTGCAAAGACAAACAAGCTATTCCATCCGGGACGGGCGATGTGGGCGGAGAGCGAACTTAATCATACGAAGTACATGGATACAGAGACTGCTTGATATTGGCATTGCAATCAAGATTTCATCTGGGGACGCCGCGCACGCGGGCTGCGGACCGTGGACGTGGACCTGTAGGCTGCGGGTGTCATTGAGGCTCGGCTTGTGCCCGAGTCATTTCTATCATGTTCGGTTTCCTGTCTCACCAGCGACGACTCTACACTCCTCACTGCCCATTGTTCTCTTTCTCCCCCTGGTCGCACTTTGGGCGGTGCTGGAATGCTCGTTGATGAAAACGTGTCTGACTCTGACCATCTACTAGTTAGGCCCGCCGTCTCGGTGAGGGAGGGAGGGAGAACAATAGTATTGTCTTTTTTTCGGACGCGGCTTCTTCCCCGGTGATGAATGGACAAGCACGACCCTAGGACGATTTGAACAAAATTGGAAAACAAATCAACAGAGATGCATGGTTGATACACAATAGGTAAAAATTTGTGCAGCGGCCACTGCCCGCAGCTGAGCCTCGTCCGTTATGGGGGTATGGATGAACTAGGAACAAGGCAGTAATACGTGCGATAAACAAGCAGAAAAGACAGGACACAAGCAGAAGGGGGGAACCGTAAGCGGAACAAACATAATTAAACAACTTTGATCAAATCAAGAAAGAAGCGAGATATGGATTATGGATGATGGGATGAAGAGGAGTCGCTCCGAGATTGTGCATTGTCCACATGGAAAGTGGGAATCTTACGGGTTATGGGTTCACAAATTCACGGTTCTGCGGTCCCATGGTCCCACGGGCCACGGTCCATGGTCATGGTCCGCGGGAGAGGGAATGAGTGAGAGTGACAGCTGAATGAGTGAGGAGAGAGTACCAGTGAGATTGGGAACAGTGAGTGAAAGAAAGGTCCCACGGGTGTTCCGGGCAGACGGTGGATATCTGCTGGATGTTGGCGGTAAAAGACCACGAGTCGGAAAGTCTAGACACTGCACCGCCAGAGAGGCATGGGCACCCCTTTTTTTTTTTCTTACTTTCGAGGATTCTCAGTGATGTCGTCCCACGGGCCACCAAGGGAGATCCATAGAAAAGGTAAGGATCCATGGATCATGGATCGAAGAAGGGGGAGAGTCTGAGAGATACCGCGGAAACTGTGGAGAACAAGGTTGGGCTGCGAGATTTTCGAGGATCTTGTCACGCTTGTCAGCGATGAATGGGAGCCAGTCGTTTGTTGGTCCTCTTTTCGTTCTGATTCAGGGGGGGTTTGGCCCTTGGGAGGCGTATGGGGGCATGTTCAAGGGGGGCGGAGGGGGGCGGCCAGAGTCAGTAAGCAACATGAGGAACCTACTCCGTACTGAGATGCAGGTTTGACGCAGTAAGGCGGCTGGCGGCAGCGTGTGATATTTAGCCATATTCAGCTGCCAATCGGGAACGAAGGGGCGGATTGGGTTCGTTTGGATTTAGACATCGGATGCGGCTGGAGGAAAGCGTTCGTCTCGTCTTTTTCGCCCTCGCGTGGCTCCCGTGGAATGTGCCTAGAGTCCATTGGCAAAAACGAAACAGCGGCTCGGGACAGGTTACGGAGTACGGATTACCTGGCAGGCTCGACTGTGGGATCTGGAGTGGGTTCTTGGCAGGGCGTGACGCCTGGCCACCAACTGGTCCGCGACGAAGAAACAAGACTTTTTTTTTTTGTGGTTTTTGGTTTTCTTTCGCTGTAATGTAACCTGGGGAAATGATTACTGGAGATTTGGAGAAGTGTAGAAAAAAATCGTCACAAATCACGGTTGATGTAGAATGGGCTAGAACTTGGACTGGACTCTTGGACTTTCTGGATCTTGGTAAACTGGAGACTGGCACACACTGGATCGAGGAGTTGGAAGTGGGAAAGATGCAAGAGTTGATGGTGCCGGGACATGCGTGGCTTCTGGGTCCTCGGCCCAGTTTATGTGTTTAGTACGTTACAACTCCCGTCTGCAGTTCAAGCTTACCTGGCAGCTTAGTTAATTGCTGTTAAGGTGCGTTTCCCAAGTTTCAAAACAGTTTGCCTAAAGGTTTTAACCTTAAGGTACTGTGCTGGTGTCATTCCAGGCCTTATTCGCTGGTACTGTATTAGCTAATGTACCTCAACAGACATGTACGAAGTAAATGGAAGTGCCTACAGCTGCGTTTGGTGTGAGTGCCCGACGGGAAGCCAACCATCAACCGATCGTCAGGAGTTGATTAATTGCCCGTGTGAATGTCTTATTGATGGTTCGTCTCATTTTCTGCGATCTCTTCCAGACTGAGATCTCAAGTGACAGATTGTTTCTTCTTTCCTCCCCCCTTCTGCTAATACAAACACTTCCCAACCCCCTTCTCAAATTGTTCCCGCTACCCCTTGCGCCAATCAGTCAACGAGACGATCAACCGACGCAGCCAAGCGAAACTTTCGGGCGACAGACAGCCAGCCAGCCCAGCCCAGCCTGCCTTTTCTCGTCTTTTCGAGACAAATTGTCGTTGGTGTCATGGTCAAACGGCCGAACTTGTGGCGGCAGAGACGGAACTAAACACGAGTTTAAAGCTGAAGTAGGGCATGTCAAGGCTCTTAGTTGGTGATAGCCTCCCTCCCGATCTACCGAGCCCCTGGGCCCCTTGGCTTTCCGGTCCGTATCTGGTGTACTGTGTATGGTATCACGGTGTGCCGTGGAATCATATGTATTCGCGGGAGTTGATTGACAGCATCCGTATTGACTCGAGTAAAACCCCCTCCTTTCTCCTGAGCCTCGCGCGTCACACGCGAATCTGCACCATTTCGGCTTTTTGAGATGGGCCGAAGTGGTTTAGTGCCAGGGGAGATCGACGAATCTTAAAACGGCGTCTGAACTTTCCGCTCTGCGCGTTTCCTGCTCGCTCTCCGCTGAGCTGACCTGACTCCTGAGGTGCGTTTACACGCGCATACCCGTACCAGCAGAGTAGGTATATCGTTTGGGGAGGATTCTAGCGCAGCAATGTCTGGTTCCATCTGCAGCTACCGGGCTTCTTCATCCTTCCATGACGATGATCCGGTCTTGGTATATTCTTGTGGGCAGAGCGCTGCAGGTCCCGAGAGTCCAGACTGTGCGCGTTGTCGGGGGACTCGGGCACTCGGGGAGGAGGAGGAGGAGGAGGAGGAGAGAGGGTGGACGCGGCTATCCATTCGTACCCGCAAGCCACGGACCCCAGGGTCCAGGGCTGAGGGAAATGCCTCTCTGACGCTGTCTCCTTCTCGTTTGTCTGTGGACTGTGGTATGATAACACCGCGCGTCTAATTCGTTGTTCGGCTCTTGGGTCGATCATTTGGTCTTGTTTGCTCTCTGTGCCTTGGAAATCCTACGCAGTAATTCCCCGAGGGCGACGGCGACTAAGGTACGTATCCATTAGGGCGGGGCGGGTTCGGACGAGGGCAAGAGCCAAGAGGGAAGGATGGGATGAAATCCATGGAAGGGACGATGGGAAGGAAGTGAGAGATACGTACTCCGTACCCCCAGTAGCGCCGCCCACTTCTGTTTCATGTTCCCATCTCCGTTGTACCCACTAACGCACGCCACGAGTCCCTGCAATATGAACTTCCTCTCTGTTCAGACTGTTTGTCAGTGGTTTTTCTCTTGGCAAGGGCCCAGGCTTCTTTCCAGTTGGTCAGGCTGTTTTTTCTTCTCTCTCTCTCACTCACACCTTGCTCCTCGGGCAGTATTATCTCACCACCACACTGGCACATACACACGCACCCGTATCTGTCTCTCTTCACGGTATCTCTGCTGTGCCCCCTCGCCCCCGGCACCATGATCTGACACCCATGGCTAGCTTAGGCAGGCAGAGAAAGACTGAATAGAGGCAACCCTCCCAGGCAGATCCCGTATCCTTCCAGCTTTCCAGTGGGAACTCCACCAACCCAGCGGCGGCAATTTGTCTTGAAGCATGCCCTTTTCGGCAGAATGACCGCGCTAGCGCACCACCCAATGTAACCTGCAAGGCGGGAACTGGGGGCAACATGGCGGCGCGGAAGAGGCACAGATAGATGGTGACGAAGAAGACAGAACTTAGCTGTGGTAAAAAGGCGAGTGGGGGTTGCAAACGACGTTGCCAACAGCTAACTTGCTGCCCGCTGCTACTGCTAGGTACGGATACCACCCACAGTCCACAGCCCGTTGCCTACTGCAAGGTACCACGCCGCCCGAGATGAGAGATGGAGAAAGCAACCAAACCAGGGGTGTCTGTGGCCTTGCAGGAGCGGAGCTGCACGTCTAAAGGGGGGGCGTGCAAAGCGGTTGAGCTTCTTGCTGAACAAGAGTGCCACTATTCGCTTCCGCCCCCAGCTAGTGCTTCTTCCAACAGGATGACGGAGCCTCGGAGAGGGTCAAGGGCACCACTGACTGCAACAGTGCAAACCGCTGCCGCCCTCCCTCCCTGCTGGCTCCTCTCTCGCGGCTCGCCCTGTCATGGACGCCTGGGGTTGTGGTCCGTTGGTTGGTTGATATAAATCCATCTCGGTGCCCTCGATATCGGGCCGCTCCCTCTTTTTGTTTCTTGACCCCCATCGCGTTCTGTACACAGCTGGCCGCTGATACCACACTCCCTTCTTGTTCGTCCTCTTTCTTGAACGAACTTTACATTCATTATATCCACCAGAGCCAAACAACTCTTCATCAGTTCGTTTGCTCCCTCAGTCTCTCTCGTCCAGCACGAAGTCACTGTTGAACAGTTCCACTCTTTGAACAAGGCAAAGCCAAGCGCTTACACCAAGCAACAAAACCACCAACTACATTTCAGTCCTTCATTCGATATCTTCGATTTCGACTTTTTTCAGCAGGCCTGCTCTCAGCTGTACACAGAAAACCATCTTTTTCGGACCTCGACGTTCTCTCTTGCACAAAACACACTCACAACAACTCATCTCAGAATACCCAACTCAACCCATCAACATGAAGTTCTTCACCACCGCCCTGGCCATGGCCGCCGCTGCCAACGCCCACACTCTCATGTCCAAGCTGTACATTAACGGCGAGTCCGAGGGTGATGCTACCTGCATCCGTATGCCCAAGGAGGGAGACACTGCTACCTCTCCCGTTGCCGGTCTGACCAGCGACGACATGGCTTGCGGTAAGCCACCACGCCTTCATTCAGCATCAACATGCTTGAACGATGCTCACCCGCTCTGATATTCATATTTACTGACATCACCCACAGGCAAGGACGGCCAGATCGCTGCCGCTTACACCTGCGCTGCCCCCGGCAACTCCAAGCTCACCTTCGAGTTCCGCCAGTGGCCCGATGCGCGTGCCGAGGGCTCCATCGACCCTTCCCACAGGGGTCCCTGCTCCGTCTACGTCAAGAAGGTTGACAACATGACCACCGCCGCCGCCGGCCCCAACTGGTTCAAGATCTGGGATGAGGGCTACGACGAGTCCACCCAGCAGTGGTGCACCGACAAGCTCATCGCCAACAAGGGTCTCTTGACCGTAGAGCTCCCCTCTGGCCTCCCCGCTGGTTACTACCTCGTCCGCACCGAGATCCTCGCTCTGCACCAGGCCGTCAGCCTCCACGACCCCCAGTACTACGTCGGTTGCGCCCAGATCCACGTCTCTGATGGTCCCTCCGGCGCTCTCGAGATCCCCTCCCAGTACTCCGTCAGCATCCCCGGCTACATTGACGGCACCGAGGCTGGCAACAACTTCAACCTCTACGACAACCCGCAGTACCCCTACCCCATCCCCGGCCCCGAGCCCTACAGCCCCGTCGGCACTGCTTCCGCCAGCGCCAAGTCCACCTCCTTCGAGGGCGGCGTCCCTGCCGACTGCCTGATCAAGAACGCCAACTGGTGCGGTAAGGCCGTCGATGCCTACACCACCCAGACCGGCTGCTGGGCCGCTGTCGACGCTTGCTACGCCCAGGGTAACGTGTGCTTCGACTCCGCCCCTCCTACTGGCGCCGCCAACTGCTACGTCTGGAACGACAACATGTGCCAGGGCATCTCTGATCAGTGCACGGCCGGCAACTGGCAGGGCCCTCCCACCATCGAGATGACCGCCAAGACCGTCGCCGCCCCCGGCGCCATCCCCGCTGCCGCGAACCTCGACCTCCTCGGTGGCTCCGCCAACACCGCTGCCGCTGCCGTTGCTTCCGCCACCCCCTCCAAGACCGCTGTCGCCGCCTCTTCCTCTGCTCCCGCCGCTACTCCTACTGCTGAGTACGCAGCTGAGGACCCCGTCGCTACCAGCGCGCCCGCCGCCACTGTTGCCCCCGTTTCTTCGGCCGCCCCTGTCCCGGCTTCCACCTCCGCTGCCGCCCCCGCTGCTCCTTCTGCCTCTGCTCCCGCCTCAGGTGCCCTTGTCGCCTCCACCGACGGTACCTGCGGTGGCAGCACCGGCTTCACCTGCGAGGGCAGCACCTTCGGCTCCTGCTGCTCCGCCGCCGGCAAGTGCGGCAGCAAGATTCTGCAGTGCAGACCCTCTTGCGGCTGCCAGACCAAGTTCGGTCTCTGCCTCGAGGCCCGCAGCCTGACGAAGAGCAACTAAAGCAAAAATGCAAGCTTAGTTTTCTTCTTGACCACCACCACCATCTCTCCATCAAACTACATCACGACATCAACAACATAGAACGTGATCATGACGACGACATGAAAGAAAACCCCCTTCTTCCATCAGTGGATTCAAAACCTTGGCTTCGCTTTTTTTTCGCGTCTTCTTTTTTACCAACAAACATGCTTGCATCACTTGCATCATTTATCTTCATCAGGGGGTGGACAAAACTTTTGGGGTTTGGTGGACAACAACACACATACATCACGGCCGGGTTCAATGGTGTTCTGTTTTTGCGAGTGGGGAAAAAACAAATTACATCGGAACAGGAAATCATGGGCATTGCTTGGGTAACTTCTGGTGTTTATTTGTTGTGCCATTCTTGTATATAGTGTACAATTCGATCATAAATCAAATATGGATCTTTCAAAGTACCTCGCGTCCCTTTGGCATGTTTATATGTGACGAGTGCTTCCTTGGTGTGCCGTACCGTTACAACTGGTGTATATAAGTGC